TAGATACCATTGCTTGCAAAGACTGAAAACTTTACTTCTATTGCTTTTTCATGCACCCATAACACACATATATTACATGTGTGAGATCTAGATACCCTTTTTTTCCAAAAGGTATTAAGCAGAAAAACAGAAAACAAATACTAAGATCATGAATATTTCCATATAAATAGCAAGGATTGGTTCTTCTTTGAAAGGCAACTTTAACAATGTGCATTTATCTATATTGCAACTTGGTAACTTAGCACATACAGTAAATAGACATGTGAATACACTGTTATTTATTATACGTAATGGGGAGCAATGTTCCATGGGCAATGAAACATTGGATACATGCAATGATTCTTTATTTGCACAAGAAATTGCAATGAACAACTGAGAACTGCTTGTTTTATACTATAGTAATAAAAATTATTTGAAATTTGAATGCCACCATTAAAATGTACCTCTCCTTGTTACAAAGCAATAAATGACAAATCTTCTAGGCCTACCCTCCCCTAGAAGTATACCATAACAAACCATGACACTCAACCTCTTTGTAATCAGTAATCACACTAACCAGTCCTTCATCTCTTTAAACTCCATCCTACAAAGTAACTACGACAGACAACATGGAAACAAGTAAATGCCATACAGTTACTGCTGTTGCTACTGTCCATTGCATCAGCTTTAATAGTGGTAACAAGGACGACCAAATTGGCTACTGCATCACGTTGAAACAATGGATAAATACTAAACACGGGTCGTTGTAGACGTTTCACAAATAAAATGTGATGATATAATTGAAATATATTGAAAATCAATCAATCCATACCGGTTACAAACGACATACTGATGTCTTGAAGCAACAATCACAAACGAATAATGTCAAGGAGGACGCAATAAATAAACCGAAGGATGGGGCTGAAAAGTCAAAACAAAAAGTAGTTGCGGGGCCAAAGAATGTAACACTAATGCAGAGATTTATTACGAAGTAGAGTATTTCTGTCCAAATAAAATCCAAATTTTATTATTACATAATAACTGTAGTTATCTGCATACATTACCATTTTGGTTATTTAATATAGATTATCTCCGCGACCTATAATATTTTGGTCAGGGTTATGATACACATAATAGCTGCCAAATTGCTCTATATCTGTATTCTTTTAATTTTATTTAGAATATGAAGAGACAAAACATAGACAAATACTATATAAAAATAATTCATACTATAAAGATTAAATGAAAATGACCAACTTTATATGATGAGTTTCTTCTTATCAGACGGAAAACAGAGGAGAGTGTGGGAGTCACAGACTTCAGCACCGTTGCAGAGTATAATAAATAACAACTTATAAATGCATGTTAACTATTTATAGATACTTACAGACTTAAAATTTTTCATCATGGCTTGCGTTGATGACCTCCCTGAAGAAATACTGGAGTATATATTGTGTCTTATATCACCTTACAACGATTTAAGAAATTGTAGACAGGTGAGTTGTTTCTATAACATTGTATTTTTCTCAGTATTGTTTCCTCAGTTTTATATTTACGGATATTTTGGTGTTACAGATATTATTCCGATGTTCTTTAAGTGAAGTGATTTTGGTAAAGTGATATTCTTAGCAAACGCTCTGGATCTAGACTAGTTATGTGGAACTTTATCTGTAGCCATGCTGGAATTGGAGGGGTTTCTGCTATATATCCATAGTTGATAGGCTTTCGGTTTTCTGTGTGCTGGCATTCACAAAACCTGAAATTCCCCACATTATCATGTGCTTGCGTATGGTATTTTCTTGTTAGATTACACTGGGAATGTGTTTAATGGCCTTTGCTGCAGCATCATTTGACTGGTGTACGAAATTCAGTGCAATTATCCATGACTTAAACATACCCAGTGGTCATATATGATGGACTGTTATACCTCAATTCCAGTGCCTCGACTCCAGGCACATGTGTGGACAACATTTGCTATTTAGAATTGGAAATTATGTAGGCAATTTTTTCACAAAGCTGTCCAAATTTGTTATTTCTACTCACAATTATATAAGTGAAAGTATTGGTGATTGTTTGGGAAATGACTCCTTAGAGACCAGATCCAGCTTTTCTGGCAGTTACAGTCTGTGTGTCACCTCTCACATGACAGGAATTGAGAAAGAGGTAAGTTATTGAGTTGCTAGATGCATTCTTCCTACCTTGGTTATTTTCATGCACATTTGTATGTATGTTGAGTATCTAAAACACAGAATAACCCACCTTAGAATATCAAAAGCCATCCAGGATATTATATTCCAGATAACTGTGTACCAGTCAAAAACATAACCAATACAGTAAAGCAGCTAGCCACCAGCCGCAGCCATTCCCATTATGTCACAGATGTGGGGGGATCTTTGTTGTATGTCTGGCACAAGTCACTACCACACTGGCCATTCCTCCTGGGAAATCCACATACATTGTCATATGAACCAAAAACCTTCTAAGCTGTGGGTTTCACCCCCCAGATCGCCACCCAATCACTACATTTACCTATTGGTGACTCCACCCTGCACCCCCACATGAACATCAATGAGTATAGTTCCCTCACCCCTCTTTACAGAAGTGTCATTAGATTTTCCCTATTTTAGTGCAGTCCTTGTATTAATGATACAAAAAATTACTTATATGGTACACAGATCTCCTATTATCAACTTGGGAAGGAAATACCATAGATGAAAAGTGTCATATTTTGTTGTTCCATTCATCATAAGCAAAGTTTACCTTGTACCATATGGCAATGTGAAACTGAAGCTATATGGATACAAAGTAGGCAGATGTTGAATGTAGTACACCTTTTCACATAACAGATCAGACATTTCCCTGCAAATTTCTAACAAGCCACATAGTGTTTGGACTATTAGTTTTGTCCTTTGACATTTCTCCATGTCTAATTGACACTAACAGAAATGTCCAACAGTGTAAGAAAATAGTTTTGGCAAGTGGCTTAGTCACATTTTGATTGACGAAGTACAAATATACTTTTACAATGATAATGAGAAACTGGATGGTTTCAAACGATTATTTGACAGTTAACAAAATAATATATATGTACGCTGGCAATGTATGTATGTATCGTACAATTCTGCCCCCATCTCTTACTTGTTTTTGGACCTCAGAACTTGTCTCAACTAATTTTGCATGGTCTTTTCTTCTCCCTCTTTCCTTTTCCTTTTCTTCTTCATCCCTTCTTCTGTCCACTTCTTAAGGTGTGAGAGCTGTGCTGAAAGGATGAAAGGCTTTTTTTGTATTAGTCATGAATGGTTTCCAGGAACCATGGGCATGGTATTCTCTTAGTTAATTGCCTAGCCTTTACCCCTTTTGGGGACCTTTCTTTTTCCACTTATATCAGGCTCACCATGGCCAATAATGAAGATTCTTTATCCATATTAGGGGTATTACCCCATGGACCTGGATAACGTTGCGGTCATGTCAAGGAAAAACTTGAGCAGCTGCCCGGGTGACATGAACATGTTGTGAACCAGGCAAATTGGCTGCGGCCTGGGAGACACAAATGGCCATCATGAGCGAAGGCCAGAATGACGGAAAAGACTCACCATGAGTGCACAAACCTCTTGGAGTGTGATTTGACATTTGGTGCTTAGCAGGGGGCTTTAGCAGTATTCCCATTGATAAATGAATATGGAATGTAACGTGCATAAGCAGTGACTGGAAGAGCACCGGCTCTAGGGAAGACGCCATTTACATGCTGTGCACTGTATTCCTGGCTGCTGTGGCTGGCGGTGCAGGCTGTATTACGTCAAATTGAAACTTACGAAAAAATTAGATATATGACACAAATAACCAAAGGGTTAAGGCTTGCCCCTTCATCAATTAGTCTATCTAAATTTGATTTCACTGGATTCCCAAACCCTGCCTCTCATTTGACCTTGGTTTTGACCACAAATACTAATACTCCCTCCTTATTCTTTATTGACAACTCTATCAATTCTTAACCACCCACCAAAGTCATTATTTAACCTTCAGAATGCACCCCTTCTTCTCTCAACAGTCTTCACTCCATCTCCTACTGCACAGTCTTCTTCATTGTCTGCTTCCTCCCTTCTTATTACTACTCTTTATCCTTTTTGTCCTCCTCCTCACTGTATTACCTCACTCCACACCAGCCCATCTTCTTCCCACCTTTCTCCTTCTACTGCTGCCATCTCTGTAAACTTTTTGAATACTCTCTTTGGCCCAGCCAAGTGGGATCATTTCTCTGTGATTCCAGCCCCTAACTCTGACAATACCCTTCTCTTCCAAAAATGCCTCCAAGAACAAGTAGACAAAGTTTCCTTTCAGAGTTGCTCCAATTATCCATGCCTTGTCACAGTTACATCTGAGTCTCAAGCTCATACACTATCAACCCTGACTGACCTCACTGGCAAACCTGTTCCTTCTACATTCAGAGTATTTGTCAATATCCATCCTCCTCCCCTTCAAGTTTCCCTTAACCCACGAACGATGGGTGTCCCACATATGAGACACCAAAAGAAATAAACATTGCCGGGCATCCCGCCAGTGTGACGCCCCGCACGCCGATTTTGTAGCCGCCCGGAATCTTTTATTTTCGGCTTCAAAATAAACTGGCGTTAAGGGGTTAAGGATAATGGGGAATGAAGAGGGAATGGTGCACATAGAAAAGAGAATGGGGTGTGTTGGGATAGAGTGGGAGGAAGAGGGGTAGGGGGAACTTGAGGGGGAGGATTCTTCTCCTACTACTTCTCCAATAGCCATTTCTACCCATACTACCTGTTGATTATCTCATAATAGCTCTCTGGCCAGTTTTCCTTAAACAATGTTCCTATTGCTTCCCCAGCCACAGATACACTCCATTTGCATCCTCTCTTTACCCTTGTCCCTATCATACTATCCTATAAAACTCTTTAACCCTTGACATCTAACACATTTTATCCTAATTGTTAACTCCTTTTTACCCTTTTCACAGCAATATTTTACCATAGTGCTATATGACCTTTGATGTGTTGCACATTTATTTGTTTCAACCTTTAAACATTTCATTGGATTCCCGACCCCTTCCTTTCCTTTGACTATGGTTTTGACCATTGATACTAATACTTTCTCCTCGCTTACTGACAACTCTATCCTTTCTGAACCACCCACCCAAGTCATCACAACTTTCTGAATGCACCCCTTCCTGTCTCTCAACATTCTCCACTCTATCTCCTACAGCACTGTCTTTTTCATTGTCTACCCTCTCCCCCCTTATTACTACTCTTCAACCTTACTGTCCTCCCCCCCACAGTACTACTTAACTCAGCACCACCATCTTCCTCCAGCCCTTGTCTTTCTCCTGCATCCACCTCTGCAAACCTTTTGAGTACTCACTTTGGCCCAACCAAGTGGGATCAATTTTTTGGTATTCCCCTTACAGCCTCTTATTTTGACAATACCCTTCTTTTCCAACAATGTCTCAAAAAACAAGTAGGCAGAATTGCCATTTGCAGTGGTTCTGAACTTTAACTCCTTGTCACAGTTAGGCCTACATCTGAATCCCAAGCTCATGCACAATCAAACCTGACTGATCTCACTGTCAAACCATTTGCGCCGAACCTCACTCCTCTCTTAATACTTATACTGGAACTGTTTCGGTCTCCCTGACTGATTGATCTATCTATGACAAGAACTGGTCAGACTGTGTAAATGACCTACTTGCCTGCCTTAATTATGATGCAGTGGCAGTACAGTGCTACACTCTTCCTCCCAGAGGGCCAGCAATGTAAGTCCCACACCATTATTGCAAAGATCAGCTTTTGCAGACATTACCTCCCCAAGAAGTGTATATTGGTAGTGTCCTGCCCTGTCCGACCATATCAGCCCCTTCTTCATCAGTGTCAAATGTTGGCGTTTTGGTCACCCAACCAAACACTGTCATCCACAGCCTTCTGCCCTCTATATGTCCAACCTGGTCATCAGGTTTCAAATTGCTCTGCTCAGTCATGTACATGAGCCAGTGGTGGCTCCCATAATGTATTTCATAGTAGCTGCTCTGCCTATATGCTCTGTCGTAGTAGTTCTCCAAGCTATGCTCACTCTGAGACCAGACAGGAAGCATGACAACGAGGTATTTCTCTCTACCTCTCTAAACTGTCCTTTGCCCTCTCCTCTCTCATCTTCTCAGGATTTCTCAGCATCTTCCATGGTATCTCTTCCCTCCTGAACCATCCTACCTCTGCTCCCCCTCTCCCCCAGTCAAATACCTTTTTCAGTCTAAATCGAGATGCCCCAATCTCTATCACTTCCCCGATCCCTACTCCCTACTTTACCTGCCACGTCAGACAATTAAAACATTCCACTCCATCTTCTACTACCACACCCAGCTCTTCCTCTGCTCCTTGGATATCTATCCCCTCTTCGCATCCCAAGAAAACTTGTTACTGAGACCTTTTCACCCAACTCCACTCTCTCCTCCACCCTCCAATCCCTTTGTTTCTATTCCCTCTACATTTGCTGATGTCCATCCTCCTGCTCTTCAAGTTCCCCCTACCCACCCACCTTCACAACAGTGTCCTCCAGACCCCTCCCCTTTTAACATTCTTCCTGATACTTTACCACCTTCCCCAGTCCCCATTTCATATTCCCCAGATTTGTCTCCTGTTTCTCCAACAGACTTGAACAATGTCCCTATTCCTTCCCCAGTCACAGATACACTTCATTTCATTCAATCTCCCTACCCCCTTAACCCTTTTCTCTTTTACGAATCTCTGCTTTACTTCATTTACTCTCCTCATTACCCTTTTCACTGCCATACTATCCTCTAGTACTCTAATCTTTGACATCTAACACATTTGATCCTAATTTTTTAATCCATTGCCGCCGGGTGGCACATACGTACATGCCATGGCTGTTGTGGACCGAACGCCGGGGGGCATCATGTCATGCCCATTCCCATGCCACTGGCTTGTTGGACGGAGGTTATTTTTCTCCAATAGTAGCGGCTTCATTTATATGGTAAAGATTTTAGGCAATGGCACCTATAATGAAGGTAAACCTTCAAAATTTTAATATTTTTATAAATTTTAGCTAAATAAAAGCTTTTAGGTGCTAAGTGTCGCTCACAAACTACCGATTGAGCCGGGCGCAATCGGGAAACTGCTGATGCGCGCCAACAAGCCCGTGAATACGTCCACTTGCCAAAATTTTTACCCGTTGGTGAGGGGTTAAGTCATTCTTACCTTTTTCACCACAATATTTTACCAAAGTGCTATAGGACCTGTGATGTCTAGCATATTTATTTGTTTCAACTATTAATCATTGTTGCTTTCCTTTCAGTGTATATTTATCTTATTTTACCTTCAGTATTATTATTTCTAGCATTTGAATGTTATTTTTCTGTGTGTGTATAGTCCAGAAGACTCACCTGGTAAAGCTAGTTCTTTTGGAGCATGAGTCTTAATTTTCCTTTGTCAGTCTTGTAATCCATTAAGTGTTACATTAGTTTACACATAGGGTACCCCCAGAGGTTACAATTTTTTTTTTTTTCTTTCTTTCTAAGCCCAAACAACATAAAATCAATCAAGAAACACAAATGAAAACCTTAAAAGGGATCAGCACGCCATTTTTATAAACCAGCGGCAGGTGCTAGACTGTGACTTCCCCAACCCCACTGTTGCCACATCTTCTCCCTTCGCTTCTGATGCACTTTATATGCTGTTTTCCAGCATATTTTATATATGTTAGTTGTAGCCATGAAGTAGATGGAGATGAGGCAGCATCAGCTACAGTGCATGTGGTGGCAGAGGGCCCCTCACGCTCATCATCACTGCTTTCTTTGTTCTCAGAAAAACCTTTGCCAAATACATAATCTCTATCTTTATCTCTATCATCTAAGAGATTGTGACTATCAGAGTCACCCTGATCATCAATAAATTCTCCACCATCTTCGCGTCTACCTGCCATGACTATAAGGGTAGCTCTGGCGGCAGGAGAGTACCCAGAATTCCCACACCTTCTTAGGAAACATGGTAGACACTCCCAGGAAACTAATTACTGTCCATATATTTGTAAAACGGCATGGGGACATGAGAAACCTCCGGACGTACCTAACGCAAGCACGTCATGTGATGTGAGAAACACTTAGCGGGTTAAGAATAAGAGTCAGACTGATAAGCATATTTATATCTCCCTTTATGTGGAGACCTTGTAACAAGCATTAAGCCAAGTATTCAAAGGCGGGAAATACCATACGGAGTTTTTCATCTTATTTTTTCTGTACTGTTAGAGTTATCAAAATATTTTGGTACTGCATTTCAACAAGAGTAGTTACTTATGAGAAAATCAAAACCATGGAATGCTAATGAAAAGTATTTCCTTTTTCAGGTGTGCCAGCGATGGTATACATGTTGTCAAGGTGTTGTTGAAAAAAGGAAGTCTCGTTTCTTTTCTGCTCTTCGAGCTGGGTGTGTGGAATGGTTTAGCCCAGTGTACCCAAGTCACATCATTCCCATCAGCAGAAGATACTCACACTCAGCATGTGTACATGAATCCTCTATGTATGTTTTTGGTGGATGTACATCAACGAATACTACCTTCAATGACTTATGGCGGTTTGATTTAGGGCTACATGGATGGACTCGTCTATTGACAACTGGCACATATCCTTCTCCAAAGGCCTATGCTTCTATGGTAACATGGAACAATTGTCTAGTGTTATTTGGTGGTTGGACACACCCTTCCCTCTACCCATTACACCAGCAGTGGGTCTTGTTTAGTGAACTTCATGTTTATGATATTTTGGGTAATCGTTGGACCCAGCTGTACTATCCTGGATCACCACCACCAACAGCTGGTCACTCTGCATCTGTACATGGAAGTGTGATGGTTGTTTTTGGGGGCTTGCAAAAGCAAGAGGGAACATCTGCAAGTACTAATGATGTATTTTGCTTGGACCTTGTAAGACAGTGTTGGTTTAAACCAGTTGTATCAGATCCCATGCCAAAGCCTAGGTATGGGCATTCACAAATTAAGTTGAATGAAAAGCACATTCTCATATTAGCAGGATGTGGAGGCTCTAATAAACTGTACAATGATATTTGGCTTCTAACATTACCAGACAATATATATGATCCAAGTGCTAAGTGGCAGTGGGAACAAATTTCAGTAGAGGAGTCAGAGTTTATGCCTTCACAGATGTGGTACAATCCTGCTTGTAAAGTTGGAAATAGCATAGTTGTATTATCAACCTGTGGATCAAACAGCAACTCTGCAGGTGGCAATATGTCACAACTTCTAGTACCAGGTACAGTAAGGAGACAACCTGCCAATGTTTGGGTTCCTCCAGCACAGCAGCCAGAAGTCCAGCCACATGAACATCCTCCTCCAGATCGTCATCAGTTGGAGCCAAATGTGAATGGTCAGCGTGGTTTTCTTAGGCCTGGTTTAAGGGCTGTAGACCAGGCAGAATCAAGCAGTGATGAGAATGATGACCTTAATCCACAAGGTGGACCAGGAGTACCAGGAAGAGGAAGGCCACGACCATCCATAAGACCCAATGCATCCAGTGATAGAGAACGCCGTCTCCAAGTCTTGTCAAGAATGAAAGAAAGACTTCGTGAATTGTCAAGGCACCAGCAGGGGGAACAAAGTGCAGCAGCACCAATGAAACCAGCTCCTACTAGAAGTACAGTAATTCCTCATATGTTGGACATAGGTCAAGTTATCACTACAAAGAGAGCAAAATGGTGGCCAGTCAACCAAGGTGGAATCCTCAACAAGCTCAGGCACACCACCTCAGCCATCTCTCCTGTATTCCCTAGTTCTTGGTCGAGGTCACCTTGTCATGTTTGGTGGCATTCCCCATGACCCCACTGGAGGACAGGGTCAGGAGACAGTTTCTAACTCTGTAATATTTGTATCTGCTCCTTCCAGTTCTTTTATTACTGCATAATTAGCTATGACGAAATGCTGAGTTCAAATTCCTTGCTCTCTCAGATGTTTGAAACAATTCTCTGCTTAATTTTGGGTTTCAAATATTTCTTTAAAAAGAGAGAGATCTACTTCTGTTGATACTCCTGACACCCTTTATTTTTACCACTTTGACTGGCCTATAAGATGCATTTTTTTTGAAAAAATTAAATACATACTTACATTCAAGATATCTGTTTAATAGATTAAAGATCAAGTTAAAAAATTGTATTATTACATTAATTTCACATCACATCAAAATAATTTTCCATAAATATATAGTAAAAAGTTTTGTTTTCTATAAAATGCTCTTGAAAACAATGTGTCTTACAGACTGGCAAATTTGGTATGTATAATTCAAAATCATATATTTCATAAACAGATTAGAAAGAAAACATTCCTATATGTTATTAAAAAAAGATGAAAAATACTTTATATTGCATTATTTGATCCAAAGTAATTAGCACAAGTACTTGCTACCTTAAGTACTAAATACCCCAGAGTAGATTACAGCAATATACATCTTAATATCTTTTTTTATTTATGTACACAAAAAATGTGGATCATAATTTAATAATTGAGCCAAAGTTTACTTTTCTTTCATTTTTACTACCACAGTATTCTATATTTCCCTTGTTTACCTTGAAATACCATGATATATGCATTCTGAGATTTAAATTTGGATTCTATTCTGTTGGATGTAGCATGGATGCTACTAACCTTGTTTTTTTTATATTGTTCTAACTTTAAAAGGAAGCTGTTCTCATTTAAGTAAGAAGAAAGTATTTTCACTAATTATTCAGTTAATATAAAAGTGTACATGAAATTGACTTGTCCAATTACCATCTCTGTCATTACTATATGAAGAGAATATTTGACAGGAGTTACTGGAATGTTACTGGAGTTGCACATTGGTTTAAGTTATGCTTCATGTCTGATTATATTACGGTCCTTGGTAAGGAACTGAAGAAAAGGCCTTTTCTCTGTAAGAGTAGCAACTTTTAACATAACAGACAAGACAAATACTTTTGTTCTTCTGAGTGCATGTACATTTCAAATGATGGTCACATATTCAGCATCAAATAAGACTAATAATTTTTTGTTCTTTTGTGTGCAGACATACTTCTTAAAAGGTCACATATTACAGCATTAGCTTTGGTTTGTTACATATATGCAATATACATTTAGAGCAGCTTTGCCCCTTTCTGTGATTAATTTGTGGAGTGTTTTTTCATGTTTTTTATAATTTCACAGTAATGTATTGAACAAATTATCATATCAGGGAAAAGATTGCACATAAAAATTGTGTTTTGGTTGTATAATTGCATGCATATTGATATGCTATCAATTTTATATTGTTTTGTGAGCTTAATAGATAAAGACAGAATATTTTGATGTTTGAGCCCTTTATAATCTTTATTCTAAACTGGTCTTCTTGATGAAAAGTAATGTTCATTTTAATCATTAATACATTTATTTTCTTACATCACATTTTTGTCAGTGATGCTTTCAAGCTGATCTCTTGTAAAACCATTTTCATGTATATCCTTTTTTCAATGCAGGTTCCCCCCTTGAAGAATGAATATTATCTGTTCAAATTTTAATTTGAACCATATGTTTTCTCTATTTTTTTATTATCTTTAGGAGAGTAGAAAAAATACAATTTTAATAAATTTTGGTGAAAGCCAGTGCAGTACAGTATCATATGTTAGTGCCAAAAGCATGGGTTATATACTGTTTAATGTTTGAAAAATCAAGAAGAATTTATATATTTTTTTTTTTTTTTTAATAAGAATAGTGTCTTATATTTTCTTTATATTATTATTGGTTAAAATTAATGTGTTCTGTTAGCAGCTCCTAAATAATAATTTGAGCTGTTTTGTTCTAGTCAGTAAATATTATCTTTTCTGTTAATAATGTGGTCTCCATCTTCAAACTTTATGTTTAGTTTTAAATATCACATACAAGCAGGTGATTTTACAAAATGAAATAACATTGTTACGATGATTAATGCTATGAATATCATTCGTCCTGCAGATCCCTTGCTATACATGGTAAACTGAAAAAATGATTAAATTTGTCATGTATACAGTAACAGATAATGATGGAAAGTAAAAACAAAGAAAATTTACCATGTTCAAATGTGAAACTATTTTTCTACATGAAGTGTGAGTTATGTAAGAAGTGTGTAAATGTTTTAATTGGTACTAAAAATGAAATTTGCTGATATACATATAAAAAAAATTACATGTATAAAAAAAAAAAAAATTGCCAAACATTTTCTTTACACCTTACATTATAATTTGCAAAGCTTATTAATATGTAAAATGAATTAATATATTACCTATTAGCTGCACCTGATACATACAATAATCAATCTTTGCTTGTGTTTGGTTAATGTAATTTCATTTTACATATTATAAGCTTGCAAATTAATTGGTAAGGTGTAAAGAAATGTTTGGCAATTTTTTTTTTTTTTTTATACATGTAATTTTTTTATATGTATATCAGCAAATTTCATTTTTAGTACCAATTAAAACATTTACACACTTCTTACATAACTCACACTTCATGTAGAAAAATAGTTTCACATTTGAACATGGTATATTTTCTTTGTTTTTACTTTCCATCATTTATCTGTTACTGTATACATGACAAATTTAATCATTTGTTTTCAGTTTACCATGTATAGCAAGGGATCTGCAGGACGAATGATATTCATAGCATTAATCATCGTAACAATGTTATTTCATTTTGTAAAATCACCTGCTTGTATGTGATATTTAAAACTAAACATAAAGTTTGAAGATGGAGACCACATTATTAACAGAAAAGATAATATTTACTGACTAGAACAAAACAGCTCAAATTATTATTTAGGAGCTGCTAACAGAACACATTAATTTTAACCAATAATAATATAAAGAAAATATAAGACACTATTCTTATTAAAAAAAAAAAAAAAGATATATAAATTCTTCTTGATTTTTTCAAACATTAAACAGTATATAACCCATGCTTTTGGCACTAACATATGATACTGTACTGCACTGGCTTTCACCAAAATTTATTAAAATTGTATTTTTTCTACTCTCCTAAAGATAATAAAAAAATAGAGAAAACATATGGTTCAAATTAAAATTTGAACAGATAATATTCATTCTTCAAGGGGGGAACCTGCATTGATAAAAAGGATATACATGAAAATGGTTTTACAAGAGATCAGCTTGAAAGCATCACTGACAAAAATGTGATGTAAGAAAATAAATGTATTAATGATTAAAATGAACATTACTTTTCATCAAGAAGACCAGTTTAGAATAAAGATTATAAAGGGCTCAAACATCAAAATATTCTGTCTTTATCTATTAAGCTCACAAAACAATATAAAATTGATAGCATATCAATATGCATGCAATTATACAACCAAAACACAATTTTTATGTGCAATCTTTTCCCTGATATGATAATTTGTTCAATACATTACTGTGAAATTATAAAAAACATGAAAAAACACTCCACAAATTAATCACAGAAAGGGGCAAAGCTGCTCTAAATGTATATTGCATATATGTAACAAACCAAAGCTAATGCTGTAATATGTGACCTTTTAAGAAGTATGTCTGCACACAAAAGAACAAAAAATTATTAGTCTTATTTGATGCTGAATATGTGACCATCATTTGAAATGTACATGCACTCAGAAGAACAAAAGTATTTGTCTTGTCTGTTATGTTAAAAGTTGCTACTCTTACAGAGAAAAGGCCTTTTCTTCAGTTCCTTACCAAGGACCGTAATATAATCAGACATGAAGCATAACTTAAACCAATGTGCAACTCCAGTAACATTCCAGTAACTCCTGTCAAATATTCTCTTCATATAGTAATGACAGAGATGGTAATTGGACAAGTCAATTTCATGTACACTTTTATATTAACTGAATAATTAGTGAAAATACCTTTCTTCTTACTTAAATGAGAACAGCTTCCTTTTAAAGTTAGAACAATATAAAAAAACAAGGTTAGTAGCATCCATGCTACATCCAACAGAATAGAATCCAAATTTAAATCTCAGAATGCATATCATGGTATTTCAAGGTAAACAAGGGAAAATATAGAATACTGTGGTAGTAAAAATGAAAGAAAAGTAAACTTTGGCTCAATTATTAAATTATGATCCACATTTTTTGTGTACATAAATAAAAAAAGATATTAAGATGTATATTGCTGTAATCTACTCTGGGGTATTTAGTACTTGAGGTAGCAAGTACTTGTGCTAATTACTTTGGATCAAATAATGCAATATAAAGTATTTTTCATCTTTTTTTAATAACATATAGGAATGTTTTCTTTCTAATCTGTTTATGAAATATATGATTTTGAATTATACATACCAAATTTGCCAGTCTGTAAGACACATCTGTTGTTCAAGAGCATTTTATAGAAAACAAAACTTTATTTTACTATATATTTATGGAAAATTATTTTGATGTGATGTGAAATTAATGTAATAATACAATTTTTTAACTTGATCTTTAATCTATTAAACAGATATCTTGAATTTAAGTATGTATTTAATTTTAAAAAAAAAATGCATCTTATAGGCCAGTCAAAGTGGTAAAAATAAAGGGTGTCAGGAGTATCAACAGAAGTAGATCTCTCTCTTTTTTAAAGAAATATTTGAAACCCAAAATTAAGCAGAGAATTGTTTCAAACATCTGAGAGAGCAAGGAATTTGAACTCAGCATTTCGTCATAGCTAATTATGCAGTAATAAAAGAACTGGAAGGAGCAGATACAAATATTACAGAGTTAGAAACTGTCTCCTGACCCTGTCCTCCAGTGGGGTCATGGGGAATGCCACCAAACATGACAAGGTGACCTCGACCAAGAACTAGGGAATACAGGAGAGATGGCTGAGGTGGTGTGCCTGAGCTTGTTGAGAGGATTCCACCTTGGTTGACTGGCCACCATTTTGCTCTCTTTGTAGTGATAACTTGACCTATGTCCAACATATGAGGAATTACTGTACTTCTAGTAGGAGCTGGTTTCATTGGTGCTGCTGCACTTTGTTCCCCCTGCTGGTGCCTTGACAATTCACGAAGTCTTTCTTTCATTCTTGACAAGACTTGGAGACGGCGTTCTCTATCACTGGATGCATTGGGTCTTATGGATGGTCGTGGCCTTCCTCTTCCTGGTACTCCTGGTCCACCTTGTGGATTAAGGTCATCATTCTCATCACTGCTTGATTCTGCCTGGTCTACAGCCCTTAAACCAGGCCTAAGAAAACCACGCTGACCATTCACATTTGGCTCCAACTGATGACGATCTGGAGGAGGATGTTCATGTGGCTGGACTTCTGGCTGCTGTGCTGGAGGAACCCAAACATTGGCAGGTTGTCTCCTTACTGTACCTGGTACTAGAAGTTGTGACATATTGCCACCTGCAGAGTTGCTGTTTGATCCACAGGTTGATAATACAACTATGCTATTTCCAACTTTACAAGCAGGATTGTACCACATCTGTGAAGGCATAAACTCTGACTCCTCTACTGAAATTTGTTCCCACTGCCACTTAGCACTTGGATCATATATATTTGTCTGGTAATGTTAGAAGCCAAATATCATTGTACAGTTTATTAGAGCCTCCACATCCTGCTAATATGAGAATGTGCTTTTCATTCAACTTAATTTGTGAATGCCCATACCTAGGCTTTGGCATGGGATCTGATACAACTGGTTTAAACCAACACTGTCTTACAAGGTCCAAGCAAAATACATCATTAGTACTTGCAGATGTTCCCTCTTGCTTTTGCAAGCCCCCAAAAACAACCATCACACTTCCATGTACAGATGCAGAGTGACCAGCTGTTGGTGGTGGTGATCCAGGATAGTACAGCTGGGTCCAACGATTACCCAAAATATCATAAACATGAAGTTCACTAAACAAGACCCACTGCTGGTGTAATGGGTAGAGGGAAGGGTGTGTCCAACCACCAAATAACACTAGACAATTGTTCCATGTTACCATAGAAGCATAGGCCTTTGGAGAAGGATATGTGCCAGTTGTCAATAGACGAGTCCATCCATGTAGCCCTAAATCAAACCGCCATAAGTCATTGAAGTAGTATTCGTTGATGTACATCCACCAAAACATACATAGAGGATTCATGTACACATGCTGAGTGTGAGTATCTTCTGCTGATGGGAATGATGTGACTTGGGTACACTGGGCTAAACCATTCCACACACCCAGCTCGAAGAGCAGAAAAGAAACGAGACTTCCTTTTTTCACAACACCTTTGACAACATGTATACCATCGCTGGCACACCTGAAAAAGGAAATACTTTTCATTAGCATTCCATGGTTTTGATTTTCTCATAAGTAACTACTCTTGTTGAAATGCAGTACCAAAATATTTTGATAACTCTAACAGTACAGAAAAAATAAGATGAAAAACTCCGTATGGTATTTCCCGCCTTTGAATACTTGGCTTAATGCTTGTTACAAGGTCTCCACATAAAGGGAGATATAAATATGCTTATCAGTCTGACTCTTATTCTTAACCCGCTAAGTGTTTCTCACATCACATGACGTGCTTGCGTTAGGTACGTCCGGAGGTTTCTCATGTCCCCATGCCGTTTTACAAATATATGGACAGTAATTAGTTTCCTGGGAGTGTCTACCATGTTTCCTAAGAAGGTGTGGGAATTCTGGGTACTCTCCTGCCGCCAGAGCTACCCTTATAGTCATGGCAGGTAGACGCGAAGATGGTGGAGAATTTATTGATGATCAGGGTGACTCTGATAGTCACAATCTCTTAGATGATAGAGATAAAGATAGAGATTATGTATTTGGCAAAGGTTTTCTGAGAACAAAGAAAGCAGTGATGATGAGCGTGAGGGGCCCTCTGCCACCACATGCACTGTAGCTGATGCTGCCTCATCTCCATCTACTTCATGGCTACAACTAACATATATAAAATATGCTGGAAAACAGCATATAAAGTGCATCAGAAGCGAAGGGAGAAGATGTGGCAACAGTGGGGGGTGGGAAGTNCTCCTCTCTCTCTCCTCTCTTCTTCCCCTCTCTCCTCTCTTCTTCTCCCTCTCTCTCCTCTCGCTCTCTCTCTCTCTCTCTCCTCTCCTCTCTCTCTCTCTCTCTCTCTCTCTCTCTCTCTCTCTCTCTCTCTCTCTCTCTCTCTCTTTCTGTCTGTGATTAGAGTAATTTTGGTACTTCATGTGGAATATTATAGATTATATTATGAAAGCGTGTTGCCGGAATGTGAATTATACATGTGCATACTTACGCCCTCTCACACTTGTCAGTATGTAATCTTAAGCATCCCTCTCCCCTTAGTCCATGAGTGGGCAACCTCCCCCTTCGGAGCAGAAGCGGCATCATACCCCAGACGAAGAGGATGACCGACGGGGCAAGAGGAGGAGCAGGGGCGAGGAAGGGCCGTGGCAGGGCAAGGGCCGGGGAGGAGGGGGCCCTGACGAGAGTGATGACGACATGCCCCCACCTAACATGCCCCGACCCTCGGGACCTGCCTCACTATTCGACTTCTTTGATGTCAAGATGCATGAGAAAAAAGGTAAGGTCTTGCCTCTGTTTTTCTTTGATATAGAAAATTAAAGGTTTGGTGGTTCACTTGACACAAGTGACAAACTTGTATTAGGGGCTTACATGTGCAGCCCTTGAATGACAGTGAAAGGGACTGAGGAACTCATTAAGGATGGTATTAACCCATCGCCGACGGGTAAAAATTTTGGCAAGTTGACGTATGCATGGGCTTGTTGGCGCGCACCGGCAGTTTCCCCTGTTTGCGCCCGGCTCGATCGGTAGTTTGCGAGCGACATATAGCACCTAAAAGCTTTTATTTTGCTAAAATTTATGAAAATGTTAAAATTTTGAAGGTTTACCTTCATTATAGGTGCCATTGCCTAAAATCTCTACCATATAAATGAAGCCGCTACTATCGGAGAAAAACAACCTCCGTCCGACGAGCCAGTAGCGCGGGAATGGGCATGACATGATGCCCCCCGGTGTTCGGTCCAAAACAGCCATGGCATGTGCGTACGTGCCACCCGGGGGCAACGGGTTAAGGATCTCAAGATGGAAGGTGTTTCATCATGGACTATGACATAGATAAACACCATGAAATAACTTCATAACTGTAGCAGTCTTCCATCCTGCTCTCTTCCAAATTCCCTGGTGGCTCGAAAATGTCAGTAGAGGGAAGGCATTACTTTAATAGGAATCACAGTTCAAATGAATGGGTTGCTGTGGTGTCTTTTACGGAACTTACTGCGAAGTCTGCCCTTTCTCCTGTATTCATTCTTTGTTCTTTGCTCTTCTTCCCTCCTGTAGCTTTGGTGAGAATTCACGAGAATCTTCAACTTACATCTCCCTAATCTTAACCCCTCAGAAATGCTCATAAAGAAGGCATCAAGCAATCATCTTTAATCATAAGCAGTATATAGTGTTGAGCTTTGTAGAGCTTGAATTTATGCCTCATAGTAGTCAAATGGTGGTGTGTCAAAGTCGAAAATAATTATGCCCCTCTATATATAATTATATAATTATAAGAGAGAGAGAGAGAAAATGGAGAGGAAAAGGGGAGGCCAAGATGAGGGGCAATATACAGGAGAGGAGACAAAAACAGAGAAAGAAAAAAGGGAAAAGGAGTGAGGAAGAACAATAAAACATGTTATCTATCTGTGTAACCACAAGATGAAAATACGATCTGTAATATTGTTGAAATATTGGGTATTGTGTTATTTCATTATCATTATTGATTAGGAAAGTTAAGAGAGCCATAAATTACAAGAATTGTTATTTCCTATCAATTACTTAATCCACAGAAGCCAGTGACAGGAGGCACTCACATGATTGGTCCAGAGAGACTAAGGGGCTCCACAGAAATGGGGGAAAGGAGGGGTTTTGGGGTGTACTTGCCATATGTTACAACACTTTGGATTTTATATTATAGTGTTCATTTACAAGTAGAAAAAGGGCAGAGCTGATGACAAAGGCACCCATTTGATTAGTTCAGGTAGATAAGGGGGTACCAGTGGGAGGATGGAGGGGTTGGTATGGAGTCAACAGAGCAAAAAAGGTTCAGGAAACATTCTTCTGGGACGTCTGCTCTTTTGCATGTGGCAAGTAAGAGCTTAGGCAACATGAATAATCCTTGCGCCATTCTCCAAGCGCTATATAACTTGATCTCAGTGAGTGAGATACTCTTGGGCTTTCTTTGCTTTTTACAGTTTTAATTATTGTATGAAGTTTTTATGGAAGCAATTTTGAGGTTGATATGTCATAAGAGGAGCAAAAACATTAGTGTGAGGGATGGTACTCCATTTCCCAGTACAAAATTCTGGTGGGGGACGGTGTTGAAATTTTTAGGTGGCACAAACTTTCTCATGAAAGGTAAAATGTATTTGTGAATGAGTTGGTGTTCACTCAAACTATTGCCAGTTGGCTTAGAAGTGTTCATGGTGCCAGGATATTTGACAATGCCCAAGTGTACTGCATACTACAGTAGGGAAGTCATTTGGGTTTGTAGTTGTTTGTGGGTATCCTTGATATGAATATTTTTTCACCCACACTTGCTCCAAGAAATGAAAAGGAGAGAAACTAAAATGGTTCTCATATGAAAACTCTGAAAAGTCTACCTCTCTTGATGCAATGCATTATGAGTGAATATATTGGTGTACCTGTAATGACAGGGAAATATATTGTGTACATATCAGTGAAAGTGAGTTACAGCAAGTTTCTCTTTCTTTGCTTTAATATTACATGTAAACTTTGTGTTTATACAACTCTGCAACAATATACTATTTCTGATAAAGCAATCAAGTACTGTAAATGCCTATAAAGATGAAAGGTTTGGCTTGTAATTACTATTTTACTGTATAATGTATAATGTCGTTTTCGTATTGATACTCACACATAATAAAAGACATTATACCATGAGGATTACACTAATCATCATTATGGAATGGTAAAAATAGTAAAATAGTAATTGATACTCACACATAATAAAAAAAAAATCACTCAGTTTTAATGTGGTGATGTACCTCCCATCATGGGCATGGGAAGACCCAGGTGTGGTAGGGAAAGATTATTTACATGGTAGAGGCAGGTCTGGAAAGAAGGGATCAAAGTATCACTCAACCCAATTAGGAAGGGATCCCCAAGTGCCATATTAAACAACACATTAGAGTGTATGTGGAGTCAGCTGCTAGAGGGGAACATCAGAAGCAGGGGAATGTAAAATTTCCCTACACTCTATGCTCTTGGCAGCATATAGAGTACTTTGATGATCCTACTTCTGAGGGGGTATTTCTCGTCAACAAAAGCAGCCGGGGTCAAACAAGTGCACAGCTGTTTAGTGGACACAATTTAAAGTAAATTGAATTCTGCATGATACAAAGACATCATTTAGGTGTAAGGGTTTGTTCTGCTTTTATGTGATTGAACATCATCCCAGTGTTACTGGAATGAATGAATTAAGGTGGTTAGATGGTTGTTTTTAATGTGAGTGCTAACGTATATTATCATTATCAATATTTAAATCACAAATCTGTTAACCTAACCACTGCATAAACTCATATGACAGCGAATGATAAGCAAAAATATTGTAGTATCTCAACTTCGCAAATGCCAAATAGGGTCAACTATCATACTGCAGCAGCAGCAACAAATAATAGATACACCCTATTCCACTGAAATAGATTTCTTGCTCTTTTTTCAGAAACTGTGAACTTTGTGGAGCCAGTGGCTGATGTTAGGGGGTCAGCCTACCAGACTGGTCGTGGTGGTCGAGGAGGAGGAAGAGAAGGAAGGGGTGGGAGAGGAAGCAGAGGAAGGATGCTGTCACGTGGAGGAGCTGTCAATGGAAGGTGAGAGGGATGTCGTTCATGTGTTCTTAGTTAACTCTGCATCTCATTGCTTGCATCTGATTTAACCCATCAGTCATATCAATCCTTACTGCTTATTTAGTCTTTTATATAAAACGTAAACATAAAAAAGATAATTTTCCATCACATAGACTTGGCAGAGATAATAATTCTTGAATTATCCATGGTAGGTCAACACCACCAGACTTAGCATCAGAGAACTGGCCCGCTCCTGGGGAGGAGAAGAACACCCCCACCAGCAACAGGAGCTACTTCGAGAGCAAAGAGCTGATGGAGGAGAAGGAGCAGGAGGATAACCTGGCTCTCCGACATCATCAGCTCCAGACGAGCGCTTTGGGGAGAGATAGTGCACCCATAGCCTATCGGAATGACCATGGAGGGCAGTATGGAGGGTACAGAGACTCTGGCAGAAGGGACTACGGGGGAGGGGGAGGGGGCTCCTACAACTCCCAGGACTCGAGAAGAACAGAGCGTGGTGGCAGAGGTGGAGGAGGAGGGAGGGGCACTAGTGGTGGTTACCGAGGCAGGGGTGGAGTCGGTGGTGGAAGTGGAGGTGGAGGAGGATACAGAGATTCAAACAGTAACCCCAGAGGTGGAAGAGGGAACAGCAACAGTGGCTATAGAGGTGGCACTAACAGTTACCGGGAAGATGGAGGTAATTCGAACTTTTACAGGAGCGATGGTGGAGGTGGTGGCGGCAGCAACTATAGACAGTATAATGGAGCCAACGGTGGTTATCGGGGCGGCAATAGCAATTACGGTAATTATGGTGACAGTGCTAATTATGGAGGTGCTTTTAGGTCTGACAGTGGTAGTAACTACAGAGATAGTGGTGGTGTTTCCCACAATGACAGTTCCTACAGCTCAGGCTACAAGGATATGCAGGGAAGTCGAAGCAGCTCCAACCAGTACAATCCCCGGTACGAATCCTACAGTAACAGGCAAGGGGGCCAGAACAGCTATGAACCAAATCTAGGCGGCCGAAATGGCATGGGAGGTGGTAGAGGAGGCAGCTACACATCCGGCAGAGGAGGAGGAGGCAGTGGGGGTGGCAATATGCAAGCATCAAACAGTAGGACGTCAAAGGAAATGAGGCTCATTCAGGACTTCCAGAGGAGCATGACCTTAGCAGGATGTTACCCACAAGAGGTACAGTTTTCTGTCTCTAATTCCTATGTTAATCTTTATCTTTTTCTTTACCATCTTTTAGCGGCCAAGGATGTCTGGATTTAATGTTACCTCTTGTTCTGCAAAGATAGTTGAGATGATTGATTATAGTGGTTTTATAGAGAATTGTGTTTGCATCATTATGCCTACCAAGCACTTTCTTTTATAGATTTATTCTCTTTTTGTTCACAGATGATGAATTATGGCAGATATGAAGATGGAGCAGAATATGCAGATTTTTCGGGTAAGTCAGTCCAAATCAGAATAGTGATAAGTGGACAGAATGGTGTTCAGATGAAAAAAAAAAACATGTAGAAGAAAGAAATTTAGAATGTATTTTAATATTGATGTGTAAGTCATGTTTTCTGTGTATTTCTTTCATTTGTATGTTGTATTTATTTGTGTATGATTGAATATCTCTTTGTGTTATTGTACATCTCTTTGTGTTTTAGTATGTGTGTTCTTATGTCTGTTTTCAGATATGTTTGTGTATGAATATAAATGTGTGGGAGCTGTGTGTCCCAGACATCTTAACTCCTTGATTGTGGTCTAAAGTAACAAAAAAGTGAAAATGCTGATCTGATTACTGTTGCTGCTTTCCAAGGGAATGACAGCAAATATTTCTTGTTTGATGGAAAAAATGCTCAAAAAGGCAATTTCATATGAATGATGTGGATTGAATGTTCGGAAATGTGAAAAACAGGCAATTTTTGTTATTGCCGACTTGTACATGCAGAGCAAGTGTGGATACTGACACTATTGGAACATTTTCAAGAGTATGAGGATGCCTGAAATATGGTCCAATGTGTATGTAGATCCCAAGTACTTTTCACAGTATTGACACAGTCAAATAATACCTGATAATGCTAAAATTCTGTTACAGGCACATTGGAATTTCACCGTGGTGGTGGCAGCGGGCGAGGCAGTCAGAGGAGAGGAGGAAGGGGAGCCTATTACTAGCAAGGTCTAAACTTAGAGAAAACAAAGAAAGGACTTAATACATTACAAGGAAGAATTGTGGGTTTTGACAGCAGTAAGGTTTATATATTATCATTGTTTATTTTAAGATACAGGTATGATTTTCTTTGTGTTGACATTGCTTTTAAGGAAGGTTTTCAATTAAAAGAACCTGTTGGCTATTGAGAGAGAACTTGCTTGAGAGCTAAGGAGTGGGACCCCAGTGAATAGCTGTATGTCTGGGATTCTTTTATTTATTTTATTTTACTGCTATCATTTTGTTTATTAATTTAGGAGTAATTTACAAAATAGATTTTACTTTTAAGATTGTTTATTATTCCTGAAAAGCCTAATGTATTTACTGCAGTACAGAGCTAAATTTAAATGTTCCCTTATTTGTGAAATGTGTTCAGAATACGGACAGTACAAGAAGTTTAATCTTCATGTTTTCATTAGGGATATCATTGTCATTGTTATTATCCATATTATTATTGTTATTATCAATTACAGTAATTATTCTTGTATTTATTATATTCTCAATTTCTTTTGCCATTAACAATGTGTTCATTGTAATATGTCAATTGCTTGATAGTCAATAATCCTGCCAAAATACTTTTATACAACTTATCACTTTTGAGAATGTTACATTTTATCACCAAATGCTTCTGCTAAGGAATTAAGATGGAGGAAAAATTTGTCACATTTGGACATTTGTACAAGGGAGTTTGAGTTTGTCAATTGTGACAATTTGTCAAGGTTGGTTGTGGTTTTGACGTGCATTGTGACTGCTTAATACGAGTTTGAGAAAATGGAATGTATCATAAATAAAGAACAAGCAATAAAATGATAATTAAATGGAAAAGGAGGAGGAAGAAGCCAAAATAGAATTGAGATATTTTCCAACTTTGTAATGTTTACAAAATTTGTGGCATTGTCTTTGTTAATTACTTGTTTATGAAGTTATTCAATGTTAGATTGAATAAAAATGAAATTTTGTAGTCAGCAACAGCACACAGACACTGAGCAATCTTTGTATAGATAGACTGAATATTTGTATCATAATAATCATCATATGCTGCTGTTGAAATAAAACCTTGGAGGTTAAAGTTGAAATATTGCTTCTGTTATTGTTAGAAAAAGAAGTCATACTAGTCAGAAATCTTACTATTTTGAGTTAAAAGTAGAGCATGAGTGACATTAAACTCATTTTTTTTTCCATTTTCTCAACATATTGAAGTTTGATCAACTTTTTAGGAAAAATATAAGAAAATAAATACAACATTTGTGTGATGAACATGGTGGCATTTGAACTGTTCAACCTGCGTTTGCCGGCACTTTTTCTGGGCCTTTTCCCTTGTAACAGTCATGATAAAAATAAAGAAAAAAAAGCTCTCTTTCTGCCAGTTTTGTACAACTTTTCTTACAAGCCATGCTTATTGCCTATATCCATATTTATTATTTATTTTTGTAATGGCTGTAACATTGTTTCTTGTACTGCATCTGTTATACATAGTAAAGCCTCAAAACCACTATTCTTTGCTTGTTTATTACCTTTGGCAGGTTCAGTGGAGTATTTTCATATATTTGAATTTCAAAATTGTACTTTGAAGTAATCTGCTGTATTTTTCTTTTTCTTTTTGTTTAGATATAATGGTGTTTATTCAACTGTTCATCTTATTCTACATATCTAACATACAAATACAATTATACTTTACCTTTTTAAACCTAGAACTTAGCAAGATTAATATGATACGGCTTTCACAACAAATTTTGACTTTTAAGAAACAAAGAAATATGTATGCATTGTAAATTTCATTAATATATCAGTTCCAATGCAGACATCCTCAAAGCATGTCAGTTACATGTCTTGCTTAGTTTTCTCAAGTAGTTGCAAAGTTGAGAATTCTTGATTTAAAATTATAGAGTAAAAGGAAAAGGAAGAGAAAAAACTGGGGGAGGAAGAGAAAGAGGAAGGTATAATAAAATGGAAAAGTGGAAGGGAGAAAGAAAAAGGAGAAAAGGAGGACAAGGAGCAGGAGGAAGAAAAGGAATTGAGAGAGAGGAGGAGGAGGAAAAGAAACAAAAGAGAAGAAAATGTGGAGAAAGAAAGGCAAAAAGGAAGAAAATGAGGAAGACGAAGAGAAAGAGAAAGAAGAGCGAGAGGAAAAAAAGGAAGAGAAAGAGAGGGTAAAAAAATGAAAATGAAAATGAGGAGAAGCTGGGAAAAAGGAGGAGGACAAGGAGAGAAACAGGAGAAAAAGAGAAAAACGAAAGTGAGAGCAAAAGGAGAGAAAGAGAGAGAGAGAGAGAGAGAGACAGAGAGCAAAAGAGAGGACAGAGAGAGAGAGAGAGAGAGAGAGAGAGAGAGAGAGAGAGAGAGAGAGAAAGAAGAGAGAGAGAGACAGAGAGCAAAAGAGAGGACAGAGAGAAAAGAGAGGACAGAGAAAGCAAAAGAGAGGACAGAGAGAGAGAGAGAGAGGAGAGAGAGAGAGAGAGAGAGAGAGAGAGAGAGAGAGAGAGAGAGAGAGAGAGAGAAANTTTTAGAAGAGAAGGAGAAAAGAAAGGAAGAAGAAAGAATTAAGGAATAAGAAAGAGGAAAGAAAAGAAACCACAAGACGTTTTTACCGAGACGCTTTACACCGCTGGCCGTTCACATTTTTAACGAAACTAAACAATCATATTATCAAAGAATCAACCAAATAGTAATATCTTGAATAGGGAAGTGGGCGGCGGGGGGTTTAACTGAGGGGGATTCTCCTTTTTTTTTAACACAGAACGGAGGGAAAGGAGCGGGGTGGGGGAGCTAACGGAATAACTTCGGCGTATTCTGGACACCGCGGGTGCTGGGTGCGCTGGTTGTTGACGCCCGTCTCAGCGGAGGCGTTTGTGCCTCGGGGAAATAGAAGCCTTCCCAACTTCCCCTGGACGCCTCCCACTACTCAATGGAATACTCTCCAAATCTTGCCTTTGCCCAGGGGAGAGGAATCCCAACGTGTTTTTAACTTTTACTTAAGAAAGGCCCCCTCTTAGTACTCGAAGGAAAAGGGTTTACATTACAGATCCTCACAGCAGGAGACTGGCTTAGATCCCCTGGCGAAAGCGTTCACATTCTAATGAGGAAACATGTAAATTACTTTACTTATGACGATCGTCATAACTGCCTGAGATAAACCGATAAAGCGAACTATTCATTAGATTATTAATTGTATGTTTTTAAGGAAGATGTTAAATGTTAAATAGATAAGAGATTATTTATCAAGTATTCTAATAAAGAAGAATTGCAAGAAATGTTTTAATAGATAAAGAATAAGATATATGAGATTATTCATTAAGTTTTCTATAGAAGAAAAAAGAATTAGAGGAAGTCAAGTTTATAGGATGATAAAAGTAAAGATTGAGTTTATTCGAGTAAGTCTACACACGGCATAACATCTGTAATTAATATCATAAAATTACTATAATTATCATTAATAACTGCTTTATTTGCCAGGCAGTAATATCAACATGGGTAATATTTCTTCTTCCTCAAAATTATCTCATTTTGTTCTTAATGAGCTTCACTAAAGACACTGTCTAGCCTCTCCTACTCGTCAGGAGTCTCAATCAGCTTTTAATTATGAATATTAATGCAGGACATGATAATCATCGCTCATTAGGATTTCAGTCGCATCCTGAGGTCGTTTGCTTCGTAATTCGGACACGGGGTGGCCTCTCCTTGTCCTTTTCTCTTTCTCCTTTTCGTTTCTGTTTCTCTAGCTCTTGCTCGCTCGTTTTTCTCTCTCGCTCTTTCTCTCTCGATTGCTCTCTCTCTCTTTCTCTCGCTCTTGATTGCTCTCTCTCGATTGCTCTCTCTCTCTCTCTCTCTCTCTCTCTCTCTCTCTCTCTCTCTCTCTCTCTCTCTCTCTCTCTCTCTCTCTCTCTCTCTCTCTCTCTCTCTCTCTCTCTTTCGATTGCTCTGTCTCTCTCACTCTACAAACACACACACACACACACACACACACACACACACACACACACACACACACACAACACACACACACACACACACACACACACACACACACACACACACACACACACACACACACACACACACACACACACACACACACACACACATACACACACACACGCACGCACATGCATACAATATGCATATATGCGCATGTCCCCGTGTCGCTAAGGACAAGGTGACGCACGCTCTCCTGCTGAAGATGCTGCTGGAGACTTCATAAATCTGAAGTTGCATGGGACTCCCTTCCTTCGCCCCCCCCCCCCGCCCCCCCGCTACCGAAATTCACCATCACCATCGCCTCCTCTTCCTCCTCCTCCTCCTCTACATCTTCCTCTTATAATTATTATTATTCCTCCTCTACCTCTTCTTCTTCTTCTTCTTCCTCCTCCTCTACCTCTTCCTCTTCTTCTTCTTCCCCCTCCTCCTCCTCTTCCTCTTCTTCTTCTCCTGCTCTTCCTCTTCTTTTTCCTCCTCCTCCTTCTGTCGGATGTCATCTTTTCTTGGTCATTTTTATTCTATCTTCTCTTTTATGGGGAGTGGGGTGGGATGGGGGGTTATTTTCTGGCGAGGAAGTTCCTTATGAAAACAGGCGTGAGAGAACGAAAAAATATTGGAAAAGCCAATTTCAGTTTTCCACTGAATTATTATTAGTATTACTTTTAACATTCCCTCATAATCATGGTTATCATTATTGTTGTTTGTACCATTATTACTGTTTTATTATTGTTATTATCATTTTTTGTTATTATTGTTTTTATTATCATTATCAATATCGTGATATTTGTTATTAGTAGTAATAGCAGTAGTAGTAGTAACAGTAGTTGTAGTATCATTATCATCATTATTATCATTATCATCATTATCATTATCATTATTATTAGTGTTATTATCATCATTATTAATAGTGTTATTATTATCATTATCATCGATTATTATTAATATTATTATCATTATTATTATTATTATCATTATTATTAATATTATTATTATTATTATCTTTACTATTATTATCATCATCATTATTATCATTATTATTATCATTATTATCATCATCGTCATCGTTACAATCAATATTGTCATTATTATTATTATTATTATTATTATTATTCCTACTACTATTATTGTAATCATTATCATCATCACTGTTACTAATATTATCATCATTGATATCATCATTAGTATCAATACTATTATTATTACAATTATCATTATTACTGTCATCATCATTATCATCATCGTCATTAACATCATTATCATTATCATCATTATCATCATGTTTATCACCATCATCATCAACATCCTCCTTACCAACATCATCATCACAATCACCATCAAAAGCTTTTAAAAAATGATCATAAACATTATGACATCTTTGCGTCGAGCCAGTGTTGCCAACGCAGGGGTCACGCGCGAGAACCCAGGAGGGGCGGAGAGGCAGTGTTGCCAGAAGCTCACAATTAGCCTCCCTTTTCCGTGGCCCTAATTTGCATATTTACGTTCTATGGGTGTGTCTCCTTTATCTACGTTATCTTGACTGGTTCGGATTCGTTGCGGTGCTGCGGGGGCGAGGGGGAGTAAGTAAGATGTATGGTGATGATGGTGATGATGAGGTGAAGATGAGGAGGAGGAGGATGTGGTGATGGTGAGGGTGGTGGTGATGATGCTGATGATTTTTGTAATAATCATATTCACAATCATAAAAGTGTTAACATAAATCATATTGATTATAATAATGATAATGATAACGCACCACCCCCTCTTCCACCACCTCCCCACACCCTCCTACACCACCTCACCACCCCTCCTCCACCACCCTTTCCTTCACCACCCCCTCCTCCACCACCCCTCCCTCTACCACTCCCACCTCCATCACCCCCTCCTCCACCACCCCCACCTCCACCACCCCCTCCTTCCACCACCCCCACCTCCACCACACCCTCCTCCACCACTCCCTCCTCCACCACCCTCCTCCACCACCCCCACCTCCAATACCCCTCCTCCATCACCTCACCACCCCCACCTCCACCACCCCCTCCCCACCACCCCCACCTCCCCCTCCTCCACCACCCACCTCCACCACCCCCTTCTCCACCACCCCCACCTCCACCACCCCACCTCCACCACCCGCAACTCCACCACCCCCTCTCCACCACCCCCACCTCCACCACCCCCACCTCCACCACCCGCAACTCACCAGCCCCTCCTCCACCACCACTCACCTCCACCACCCCCTCCTCAACCACCCCACCTCCACCATCCCTCCTCCACCACCCCCACCTTCACCCTCATCTCCACCACCATCTTCACCCTCACCTCCACCTGCACTACCTTCACCATCACCTCCACCTCCACCACCACTCTCCACCTCCACCACTCCACCTCACCACCCCCTCCTCCACCACACCCACCTCCACCACCCCCTCCTCCCACCTACTCCACCACCCCCACCACCACCCCCTTCCACCACCACCCCTCACCACCACCACCACTCCCACCTCCACCACCCCCTCCTCCATC